GTCTCAAAAAAAAAAAATTTTTTCTAAAAGAATATATTACTTCTAAACTAACAGGAGAAAATGAAATAATATTAAATAGTCAGACATTTTAAAAGAAGGCAGGAAAGGAGAGAAAAAGGAACATAGAACATGTGGAACAAATAATAAACACATCAGAAAATTTAAGATATAAACTCAGTAATGACGTTATGGATATAAATATACTAAATCTTACAAAATTTATATAGTAATTTGTTTATTTATTTACCAGTACATTAATCTTAGATCTGTAGCAATTTATATAAATATGAATATACTGTCTAGGCACGGTGGCTAATGCCTGTAATCCTGGCACTCTGGGAGGCTTAGGTGGGAGATCGCTTGAGGTCAGGAGTTCGAGACCAGCCTGAGCAAGAGCAAGACCCTATCTGTATAAAAAATAGAAAAAAATGAGCTGGGTGTGGTGGTGCACACCTGTAGTCCTAGCTACTCGGGAAGCTGAGGCATAGGATCGCTTGATCCTAGGAGTTTGAAGTTGCAGTGAGCTATGATGATGCCACTGCACTCTAGCTGGGGCAACAGAGTGACACTCTGTCTCAAAAAAAATTATACACACACACAGTTTCAGTTAAAGAGATATACTGGATTTAAAGGAAGAAAAAAAAATACATATGCTATGTAAAAGAGAAATAATTACAATATAAAGATGCAGAAAGGTTGAAAGTGAAAAGACGGAAACATGCATTATCCAAACAATATTTAAGGGTTCATAGTAAGGGATAAAACTAACAGTTCATGGTAACTTTTAGGGTAGAGGAATGTGGGGTTGTGATTGGGAAGGGGCACTTGGGGGGTTTGGACACAAATGATAATTTACACAGGTGTTTGCTTTATAAAAATTTGTTAAGCTCCACATTAGATTTGTATATACTTTTTCCATATGAGTATTCTATTTCACAGTATTTTTTTAGGTAAAAAACCAAACAGTGGATAACACATGGTCTAGCCAGACAGTAAGTAATTTGGGAGCAATTATAGAAAAGTAAATCATATTCCTGTCTCACAACATGAAAGTAAACTTCCAAGTGGATTAAAGACCTGAATGTGGGAGAAAACTGAAAACTTTTAAGAGAAAATAAGAAAGCATTTCTGTGACCTTATAACAGAAGATGATTTCTTAAACAAGATGCAAAAGCCGAAACAAGAAAATATTGATAAATTTGACTACATAAAAATGTAAAACTTAGAATGTGTAATAGACAAAAGATTAGTATATAGAATATATTATATAAAGAATTGCAAATCATTGAGAACCTGATGTAAAACTAAAAGCAATTGAGAGAAGAGTAAACAATTATATAAATATGTCCAACTTCAGTAGTAATCAGGATAATGCAAAATAAAAAGACAAACACTACAATAATAATTACAGGCAAAATCCATCATTGGGTGCTAAAATTAATGGATAAAAGTTTGATGAGAAACAAGATATCTGCATAGTCTCCCAGGTATTTCTTAATTACAGAAGGAAAAAAATAGTAGCTCCATAGGAGAGAAACGCAGCAGATAATACCTTAACCGAGTAATCAAAATTAACATCACCAACAATAAGACATTGTTATCATGTACTCTGTGATGTGATGCACTGAGGAAGTCACAATGTCACTTCTCTGTTATCCCTTCCAAATGCATAACTCAATCTAATCATAAGACATCAAACTCAAAGTGAGGGAAATTCAATAAAATACCTGACCAGTACTCTTCAAAGGTGTTAAAGTCATAAAAAAAAAAAAAAAAACACAAGGAACTGCTGCAGCTTAGAGTAGAGTAAGGAAACACGACAACCACTTGCACTGTGGAATCCTGGACCAGAAAAAAGACTTCAGTGGAAACACTGGTGAAATCTGAGTAGTATCTATAGTTTAGCAGTTAATACTATGCATGATTGTTAATTTCCTGCTCTCGGTGATTGTACTATGGTTATATAAGGTGTTACCGTTAGGGGAAGCTTGGTGAAGGCCATTCTCTGTACTATTTTGCAACTTTTCTGTAAATCTAAAACTTTCAAAATTAAAAGTGGGTAGACAAATTGTGATGTATGCTATACAATGGAATGCTAATCAGCAATAGAAATGATAAACTATTGGTACATGCAGCAATGTAGATGAAACTCAGAATAATTAGGCTGAAAGAAAGAAGCCTCATAAGAAAGCACATATTGTGTGATTCCATTTATACCAAATTCTAGAAAATGTAAGGTAATCTATAGTGACAGAAAACAGATCAGAAGTTGCCTGGTCATAGAGACAAGGTCATAGGCAGAGAAGAGTGGGAGGGAAGTATACAAAGGGGCACCAGGATACTTTGGGGGTAATGAATGTATTCATTATTTTAATCGTGATGATGGTTTCATAGGTATATATACGTCAAAATTTACAAAATTATGCACTTTAAATGTGTGCCTTTTACTATATGTTAATTATATTTCAATAAATCTATTTTTGTTTTTAATGTATAATTTTAGGACATCCATTTAAAGATTTTCTAAAAGAGGCCGGGCGCGGTGGCTCACGCCTGTAATCCTAGCACTCTGGGAGGCCGAGGCGGGCGGATTGTTTGAGCTCAGGAGTTCAAAACCAGCCTG